GTATGTATGTATGTATGTATATGTATATATATGTGTGACCCCGCCTGTCAAAATGGGTATTAAATAGTACTGGGTGATATTGTGCTAGTTTTTATGCATATCAGATCCAATTTGTCTATTTTCAGATTTTTATGTAAAATAGTTCAGAAATGCCTTATCTTATCCGCAAGTGAAAATACAATCAAATTCTATTGCAAAACATGTTATGAAGGCCTTTTTTGAAGCATAGTAGGAAGACCTTGACCAATTTTGAACAATGCCCAACTCCCCACAAGATTTAAATAGTCTGATAGTGAAAAGTTTCTCTCTAATATCACATACTCTGAAAATGTGAATGGTTTGCAGAAAAGACCTTGCTATCTGGGCCATTCATGCTAAGCACCCCCTTGCACTCCCACACCAAGAATCTGCCTACTCTCTGAAAATTTTGAATGAATTTTTTGATGATATGTAAGCCCAGGGTAACATTTTCATATCATTCAGTAATAGTTATATGTTCAAAGACTGAAAGTATACAATAGTTTGTCTTTAATACCAATCCACTGTTTTTTTTCTTCAGATTTTTCAGTTTTTTTAATCAAAGTTAATTGGATTAAAATTTGGTTAAAAAATACCCCCATGAAGTTGGAATTTCCAATTAGTGCTTGATTTTGTATTAAGACACTGTATACTTCCTTTGGTATCAAAATCATTAATCATTTGCTAAGGAAATTGTAACCCTGTGGTCCTTAAACTTTAACCCTGATTTCCTTAAAACTTCAGTTGTCAAAGTTCCCATGTTTTCTAATATTCAAATGGCCATATCATCTTTACCACATAAGATATGAAGATGATTTTGGTATCAAAATGAAACTTATGGAGAAATCAATATGAATATATGCATAAATCCAAACCTTTGATGCTACTTAATACCCATTTTGACGTGTCGGGTTATATGTGTGTGTGGGTATATATATGTATATGTGTATATTTATATTTATATGTTTATATATTTTTGTGTGAATTCTGTGATTTTATTAATTTCATTATGTTTCAGGTCAACTAAGCTCATCCATGGAGGTGTGAGATATCTACAAAAAGCCATAATGGGCCTTGATATTGAGCAGTATAGGATGGTAAAGGAGGCCCTGCATGAAAGAGCAAATCTCCTTGACATTGCTCCCCATCTTTCCTATCCACTGCCCATTATGTTGCCAGTTTACAAATGGTGGCAGCTCCCATACTTCTGGGTTGGTATCAAAATGTATGACTTGGTAGCAGGGAAAAAATGTATAAAAAGTTCCTATGCCATCAGCAAGGAGCGAGCTCTGGAGCTCTTCCCAATGCTGAAGAAGGACAAGCTTGTTGGTGCTATTGTATATTATGATGGGCAGCATAATGATGCCCGAATGAACCTCTCCATTGCCCTAACTGCCACCAGGCTTGGTGCTACTATTGCCAATCACACAAGAGTGGTGGAACTCCTCAGGGAAAAAGGAGAAGATGGGAAGGAGCAGCTGTGTGGTGCCAAGGTTAAGGATGAGATAACTGGTCGTGAAATCACAGTGAAAGCCAAGTGTATAATCAATGCCACAGGACCCTTCACTGACACCATTCGTAAGTTGGACAATCAGGCCACAAAGGAGATCTGTGCACCAAGTATGGGTGTCCACATCACCCTCCCTGACTACTATTCCCCAGAGCAGATGGGGCTGCTTGACCCAAACACATCTGATGGCAGAGTGATTTTCTTCTTACCCTGGGAAGGTCGGACCATTGCTGGAACGACCGACACCTCCTGTTCAGTCACACATAAGCCTGCACCAACAGAAGATGACATCCAGTTTATTCTTCAAGAAGTTAAGAACTATCTAAATCCAGATGTTGAGGTAAGTAGCATTTGTTTCTTTGTACTTACATTCTTTAAAGACATACTGTCAGAAAGTAACCCCCTTGGGATTATATTTAATAGGCATCATAATAACACAGACATGCATACATGCCTGTCTTATGGTTTTGATTCTCTCTCTGTCTCTGTTTGTCTCTGTCTCTGTTTGTCTCTGTCTCTGTTTGTCTCTGTCTCTGTTTGTCTCTGTCTCTGTTTGTCTCTCTCTCTCTCTCTCTCTCTCTNCCCTTCCCCTTTACTTCTCATCCTCTTTCCTTCAATCATTCTTCCTCTTCCAACCTCAACCTACTCCTTCCCCCTTCCCCTCTCACTATATTCCTCCCTCCGCCCTCTCTTACTCCCCCCCACGACCCTCCCCTCCCTCCCCGCTCTCTCTTCCACTTCACCACCTTCTTCCCGGCCCCTCCCTTCTCACCGCCATTCACCCCACCCCCCCCCCCCACCCCACCCCCCCACCCCCCACGTTAAACAGATTCTTCAGGCCACAATACTTGCTTGCTTGCAACATCTTGTCCCGCCCTTCGCTCACTCCAGTTTTTGCGTTCTTCTCGTTCTTCTCTGTACGTTCTTCCCTCTTTTTTGTTGTTGTGTCAATTGTTCTTTACTCTCTTTAAAGTTTTTTTTTCTTTCATTCGTTTTCTCTCTAGTTTTTTTCATTCGTTCGTGCTTCTCTCTTCGTTAATTTTTTTTTTTTTTTTTCGTTTTTCCTTTTCAGTTCCGTTTTTTTTTTCTTCCATTCGTCCTCAGATTGTTCCTATGCTCGTACATTTATACCAAATAGTTTTCCTCTCTCTTTTTTTTTTCTTTCTCTCTCTCTTTTGAAGCGTAATTATTATTATTTTTTAGTGTGTTATTTATATATTTATTTATTTATTTTTATTATGATGAGATGATGATGATGATGATGATTATTATTATTTATATTATTTTATTATTATTATTATTATTATTTATTATATTAAATTATTATTATTGTTATTGTTTATTTGTTATTGTATATTTTAGTTTAGTTTTTAAATTTTTTTTTTTTTTGCAAGGTTTGAAGATATTATTTGCCGAAAAGAGGGTGGGATCGTGTCTACGCCTTGCCAGGACGGGGAGGTGGTGAATGAAAGCGGGCTGGTGGGGCGGGGTGTCATTAGCCATTCTGGGGAATTGGCTTCGACTTTGTCAGTGTTTATTCTGTCTGTTTCTTGTCATTCTTTTTTTCTCTTTCTCTTTCTTTTTCTTTAATTTGTTTATTCTGCCTTTGCTCTTTTATCTGCTCTCTCTCTCTCTCTCTCTCTCTCTCTCCTCTCTCTCTCTCTCTCCTCTCTCTCCTCTCTCTCTCTCTCTCTCTCTCTCTCTCTCTCCACTTCACTCACTCACTCACTCACACACACACACACACACACACAACAACACACACACACACCACAAACACACACACACCACACACACACACACCACACACACGACACACACCACACGCCACACATTCTTATACAAACAACACACACACACACACATTCTTATACAAAAACACCACAACACAACACACACACACCACACACACAAAACAAACACAAACACAACAAACACACACACACACACACACACACACACACACACACACACACACACACACCACACACACACAACACACACACACAACACAACACACACACTAACAACTCACATCTCACAACTCACACTCAACACTCAAACACTCACACTCACACACACACACGAGAGAGAGAGAGAGAGAGAGAGAAAGTGAGTGACATAAATGAATGGAACGAGGGAATGAAGAGACTTAAAATAAACGAAAGAAGGAGCAAGAACAGACGTAAAGAAGTGAAAGAAGAGCATGAATGGGCGAGATAAATGAAAACGAGAGTGAATGAAGGAAGTAATGAATAAATGATTGGATGAATAAAAAGATATGATAAACTGAAGGGGAATCATAACAAACGTAGGTGCAGAGCAAAGGTGAAAGATAACGGAATGATGATAGGCAGATAAAGTTGATAGATAAGGTGAAACGTGTCGATAGATAGGGTCGATAAATGAGGAGGTAGTGATAGACAGTTTAAAGTGATATGCAAAGTCAAATTGCAGATAAGAGTGGCCTAATAACCAGATTAAGAAAGCTAGGAGCCAGATACAGATAATAGCCATGGGAAACCTACTAGGCAATAGATAAAGTGAAACTAGTAGGTAAACGGTAGCAGAAGTAGCTACTAGTTGACAGATAAAAGTACCAGATAAGAAGCTACCTGTAGATAGATAATGATACCACACTTAGCTGCTAGTAGATAGAGATAAGATAAAGATAACTAATTACTACTAGGTAAATTAAAATAGTACATAAGGAACTACTAGGAGGTGATAGACATTAGAGAAGGTAAAAATAGTAGACAAAATATACATGTAGCTACTTATACACAGATAAAAAAAGGGAAAGAAAAAAAGGCAAAGAATCACTAGTAGATAGAAATACCAGATAAGGAGAAACTAGGAAATCCGATAAAGGGGCTACAATCCTACGGAGACAGGACCAGGATGTGGCCACATTCTTCTGGTATGTTTCCTACGAACACCGAGCCGTGGGAAGGTCGGCTGTGCTACAGGTGAGGAAGGGGGAAAGGGGGGGGAGATGGGAAGGAGGAGAGGGGTAAAGGGGAGAGGGAAGGGTGGGAGGAGGATTGGGAAGGGGTGAAGGAGGAAGGTGGGAAGGGTAAAGGGGGAGAGGAGAATGGGAAGGGGTAAAGGGGGAGGATGAGGGAGGGGTAAAGGGGGTGGGGTGAAGGAGGGAGAGGGAAGGGGTGGGATAAAGAGGGAGGAGGGAGAGAGGGAAGGGGGTGGGGGAGGGAGATGGGAAGGGGTAAAGGGGAGGAAGGAAGGGGGGGAGGTGGGAAGGGATAAAGGCGGGAAGGAGGGAGAGGGAAGGGGTGAAGGAGGAAGGGGGGTGGGGGAGGAGGGAGTAGGGAGGGGAAGGGGTGAAGGAGGAAGGGGGAGGGAAGAGGGGGGGGGGGGAGGGGGGTGGGGCGGTGGAAGGGAGAAGGAGGGAAAGATTGACCGCAAGAATATGAGAAGCAAAGGCCAGGGAAAATTATAAATGAAGTGAAGTGGAATTGATAATGCTGATGATGATGGTGTTTAATGATGATGGTGATTATGATGATCAGATGTAGTCGTGATGATTTTGATGATAGTTATTATGATGATGATAGCACTAATGATGATGAAAATTATAATTATAGTATGTTTAAATGGATTCCGTGAATGTTTAGAAGCGATAAAGATTTTTTTTTATATAGATCAAGTGGGTACATAACAATAAAATGGAAGTGTGCGTGCGTGCGTGCGTGCGTATACGTGAGCGTAGGTGTGTGTGGATTATGGCCAAACCCCGAGGGAATTAGCTAGGATTATCGATGCCACCGTGTTTATGATTAGGTGGGTGGGGTGGGGGTTGGGGTGGGGTGGGGGAGCTGATTCAGGGTACAAGGCAATGGGTGATAAGTAACTAGGTGCCAGGAATGTGTGTGTGTGGGGGGAGGGTCGTGTGTGTACCTGAGTGGGAACAGGTGACATTGAAGCCAGTGTGTTAATTTACCTGAAGATTGCCAGGGTAATTCTCGTTATTATTATTTTTCTTTTCATTTTATTTTTATATTTTGTTTTTAGTTATTTTTTTTTTATTTTATTATTTATTTTTTTTTTTTTTGGCTTGTGGGCTATGAAATGGGGGAAGGAATTTTGTTATATACACAGACACGCACGGGTATATTTGCATATGTATATATATGTAGGTAGGTACGTAGCTGGGTATATAGATAGATAGATAGATAGATAGATTGATAGATAGATAGATAGATATGGGCTAATGTACGTTAGGAAAAGGCAAAAACACTAGATCTCTCTCTCTCTCTCTCTCTCTCTCTCTCTCTCTCTCTCTCTCTCTCTCTCTCTCTCTCTCTCTCTCTCTCTCTCTCTCTCTCTCTCTCTCTCTCTCCTCTCTCTCCCCTCCCTCCCTCCCTCCTCCCTCCCTCCCTCCCTCCCTCCCTCTCCCCAACGTACACATAACAAATACAGAGAGAGGAGAGAGGAGGAAAGAGAGAGAGAGAGAGAGAGAGAGAGAGAGAGAAGAGAGAGAGAGAGAGAAAGAGGAGAAAGAAAGAGAGAGAGAGACCGCAATATCCTCCACCTTATCTCTATCATTATCACGTGGACCGTCACAGTGACGAGGATGATTGCGACGAAAGCGAACAGAGGAGCGAAGTGAGAATTAGGAAGGACAGGAGGCGAAACTGTCGACGCAATCTGTATCATCTTCTTAGGAAGAGGGAAGCAGGGTAGGGTATCCAGTGTGTTCTCATAGCTATATCACCAGAGACCTACGACGGATCAGTTCGCTGTTCTACTCGTGGAGAAACCTCATCAAATCGCAGTAATCGCATGTGTTATACACACCGGGTACGCACATCTACCTTACCGAACCAATTTAAATTCTCCAGGTCTCTCGCTACCAAATATGCACAGAATAAATTAGCACGACATCATGACGGCGGCAACTACTGTTGTCCTGCATAAAGACTAGCGGCTCACCGCCAAGGATGGTAAGGCAATATCTTCGTCTAATTACAGAGTCGGTAAGTAATTGCATGGGTTGACATTATGACTTACGAGGGAGAACCCAACACGGTTTAACAAGACTATACGAACCGGAATAGTCCAGTACTGCTCATAGGCAGTAGTATTTCAGACGTACTTGACTTCATGATCTCGGCCCTAACGGATCGCGGACAAAGGCAAAAACACACAGCCTTCAAGTCAATCACCAGATCCACCTGATCACAGACGCTGGGAAGGCTTTAAATTCGATACCGATGCACATCATCCAGGCTTAAGCAACTACTGATATATCTTCTGGGGCATTGCGACAACCATGACAGATACACTGACAATCACGCACTCACATCGCGAGAGCCTAACGGTCCAGGATCTCATCTCTATCAATTAGTTGAAGCTAAGATCATATAAATCCGCCAGAGCAAGGGCTAGGCTGAAAGAGTCTCTCACTCCTTCCGCAGATTATTGGTGACCGTCAGTCAGTAACGTAGAGCAGCCGATCTGCTGCGGCAAATGAACACATCGTCGCGCGAGACGGACGCCGTAGGAACTCTATAACTACGTGCACCTCTCGTGGGGATAGGGACATCATAATTTGGAGGAGGTGCAAGCGAAACAAGAGCCGTAAACCGCGTGGGAAAAGACAGCGCCGAGAAGAGGGGAAAAGAGGGAAGAGGGGGGGAGGAGGGAAGGAAGGAAGAAAGAGGAAGTGGGAGGAGGGAGGGAAGACGTCAGGGAGTGTGGAGCAGGGAGGGACGATTGACGAGGAAAGGAATCAGAAAGGGGGATTGAGAGAGAGAGAGAGAGAGAGAGAGAGAGAGAAGAGAGCACAAGAGAGAAGAGAGAGAGAGCGACGAGAGAGAGAGAGAAGAGAGAAGGACCCGAATATCCACCGGCAGACTGAGTGGGAGAGAGCATCGAGTAGTCAAGACCGACTCGGGGGTGCGAAGCGAAGGAAGGAGAGAGGGAGAGTCAAAGAAACACCTGTATACCTCTTAAACACTTGTGGGAACGTGTTTGCCACCCGCCTCAGGGCCAGTGGACAAGCCATATGTATAATAAAAATTAAGGAAGCAGATAAGCTCATTCTCATGAAGATATATCTTCTTTCCAAAACGATAGTTGACTCCGATAACAAAGGGCATCAGATTCAAGCAATAAATATTCCTTTCTGGACAAATTTATCGTGGCGTCGACTGGAAACTCCCTCGTCCCCTCCCCTCTCTCCCTATCTCTCCGCGATACGATCCACTATCTGTCATCGCAAGCGTCTACATACACACACCGTGCTTCTTCCCCCCACGCACACCCGCTCCTACACCCGACACTCTTCCTCACCAACGTCAGATCATCATCCCTCATCGTAAATCACACAATCTATTCTCCCCTCCGTCTCCTCTCAACTCTCCCCTTCCCTTCTCCCCTCTCTCCCCTCCGTCTCTTTTCTCTACCATCGTTTTACCCCTAACCAACACCGCGACCCTCGCCCTCCCTCCTCCTTTCGGTCCTCTCCCCTCTATGCCCTTGGACCCCCACCTCAAAATCACACTTCCATCTCTGCCCCTTCCCTTCCATCTTTCCTCTCCTCTCCTCCTTCTTTCTACTTCCCCTCCCCCTCTCCTCCCTGAACCACTTTCGCTCCTCTCCCTCCTTGAGCCCCTACTCACCTACCTTTCCCCCTTCTCCTACCTCCTCTCCTCTCCTCTCCTCTCCTCTCCTCCTCCCTTCCCTCTCTCCCTCCCCTCCCCTCCGCTCCCCACCCCTCCCTCCCCTCCCTCCCCACCCCCTCCCCCTCCCCTCCCCGTCGCTACAGTGTTGGCGGAATCGATCGTGTGTCGAGCGCGTTTCTCCGGCGCCGTCGAGGTCGAAGTCGCCGCTCGCTCGCTCGCGTAGGCTGAGCAGGGAGGGGGGGTCGACGTGGTGGAATCTGCGTCGGGAAAATGCTGCTGGAACGGAGAATGAATGGGAACGCGAAAATGGAACGCGCTGCGACACGAGAGCAGCTGTTGATCTTGTTCTTTGTCGTACAGATCCCTTTTTTAATGTTTTTTTTTTTTTCCTGTCTTCCATCACATTTCTACACACACATACATCACTCACTCACGCACACGCACACACACAGCGCACACACACGCACACGCACACACGCACACCACACACACACACATTTTTTTTCTTACTTTTCTTTTTTTTTTTCCCCAGAGCTTTTGCTTCTAAAGTTTGTCGGATACAAAAAAACAAAAAAAACAGCTGTAATGTGATCTTCTCTGTAAACTTTTCCTTTTTGAAATGAAACAGATGCAAGCACGCGAGAACAGCTGTTTTCTTATCCTTCTTGTTCACTCGTTCAGGGAAAACGGGCAAAGAACAGCTGTTTACCTCAACCCTATAAATTCCGTCTCGCCGCTATTCTCCACAGACAATTCCCACCTCTCCTCTCTTCCTCCTTTATTCTCACCTTCCCTCCTTCTCTTTTATTCCACCTCTCCTCTCCTCCCTTATTCCCACCTCTCCTCTCCTTCTCTTTTATTCCCACCTCTCCTCTCCTCCTTTATTCTCACCTCTCCTCTCCTAATTTATTCCCACCTCTCCTCTCCTCCTCTATCCCCTTCCTCCTCTCCTCCCCCCTCCTTTATTTCCCACCTCACCTCTCTTCCTCCTTTGTTTATATTTATAGCGAGATATTTCTATTGAATGAAGGGAATGAGGAGAGGTATGAATGAGGAGTCTTTTGTGTCGTAAATCATCTTTCTTCATTCTTCTCTTCCTTCTCTTCTTCTTCTTCTTCTTCTTCAATGGAACAGAAACCCCGTTGGTGGTCTCTGGAGGTGCACTTGGGTCGGCGGAACGCGAATTGATCTCGGTCGTTGGTGTGACGTCACGATCAGCTGGTCCGAATCGAGTTGCCAGTGATTTTTTTTTTTTTTTTTTTTTGTGGTTGTTGTGTGTGAGTGGTGTGTGTCGTGTGTGTGTGTGTGTGTGTGTAGTGTGTGTGTGTGTGTTGCCCTGTTACATTTGTGGTGTATGGTGCGTGTAATGTGTGTGTTTTCATGGGTATTTGTATATGTGTATGTTTATGTACCCATGTATGTATGTATGTATGTCAACCTGTATGTCTGTGTGTGTGTGCCTGGGTTGGCTGTCTCGCACATATGTATTATAGAATCTCATCACAATCACGTTTTTTTGTTGGCATTTTTAAATTTATTTATTTATTTATTATTATTATTATTATTTTTTTTTTTTTTTTTTTTTTTTTTTGAGTACTTGAACAGATAACCTTTCGTCAATGCAATAACATTTTCCCACAGGTGAAATGACGGAAAAAAAAAAAACAAAAAAAAAACGAAGCAAATTCAGTCAAAATTCAGCGACACGAATCAATAACTTGATCCGGAAGTCGTGATGGCTCATTTGGGTCTGGCTTCGGGCGCGAAGGGCGTCAATATGTGTATTTGCATAATTTATTCATCTTGAAATAATAAACAAAATATTTTATTTTATTCATCTGAAATAAGGACATAAACAAAATGTGTATTTGTGTGTGTGTGTAGATTTGCTATGTATGTATGTGTTTGTGTGATGTGTCTGTGGCTGTGTCGTGTGGGTTGTGTTGGTTGTGTGTGTGTGTGTGTGTGTGTGTGTGTGTGTGTGGTGGCTGTGTATGTCTGTGTCTTATGTCTGTTGTCGTCGTGTGTATCCAGTATAGGGCTGATCCACGTACGTATTAATAACTACTTGTGTTTCAATATCTTTGTGTTCGTTTAGAACAGTTCACAAAAAAAAGTATAATATTATTCGCCAACGAAGTATTGGCAATGATAACGTTGGGAAAAAAAAATGAAAGAGGAAATTGTGGATAAAGAAAACGAAAGGCGGTAAACCGAAACTATAAGAAAAACGGGAGAAAAAAAAAAGGAGAACAAAAATACAGTATCTCTTTTGTCATTTGGACAGAGTTTCCCAAGGGCCCCCATTCACGAATGGGGGGGCAGGGACCGCGGCAGCCAGGCCTGGGAACTGATATCCGATACGTGCGGTGCGGCTCCTGCCCAAAGCTGTCTTCCCAGATACCAGAGCCTCCTTCGGACACCCCTGGAAGCCTATCTTTACGTGGGCGGAGACAGAACGGGTCGCTGACGGTGAGGGGGACGGGGGATGGGGGTCTTTTTTTCTATATCGGTTTGATAATGCGGACTATTGACATTTTATTGAATCAATGGGCGAGGTAATGGTGGTGCTGGGACCCATTACCTCATATGAGACCTTATCGGGAGGGAGGAGGGGCGGCAGGGAGGGAGGTTGTGCTTTGGGGTAGGGGAGGTAGGGGAGGGAAGGATGATTGAGGGGTAGCAGGAGGGAGGAGGAGTGGAGGGGAGTGGAGGGAAGCGGTAGGAGGAAGAGACCCATGAGGATTGGAGCTGGAAGGCATTAAGATGAGGAGAAGAGATTAAGGAAGAGGGAAGCAATGAGTAAATTAATAGGCAAGAAAAAGAAGAGCGAGGAGGTAAGAGCAGAAAAGAAGGAGGAGGAAGGAGGGGGGCAGGAAAGCAGGAAGATGGAAAGTAATAATAGCAAGAAAAAAAGAAGAAGAGATGGAGGTAGGGCGAAGAGGTAGGAGGAGAGGAGAGGAATGAGAAAAAGGAGGAGGGAGCGGCAGGAAAGCAGGGAGGGATAGGCTAGGGGAAAGAGCGATGGAGGGAGGCAGGAGGAAGAGAAAAAAAAGGAGGAGGGAGGGCAGGAAAAGGAGGGAGAACGCAGAATTAGGGGGAAGGGGATGAGGGCGTATTGGCGGCTCTAGGTGGGGGGGGAAGAGCAAGGGGTTGTGTCAATGGGAAAGCCGCGAACCGACCGCTTCGATCTCGGGGAAGAAATCGCATGTAATGATTAGCAGATGTGGTCTGGTTTGTGTGTCGGCAGGCGCAGGGGGGGGGAGGGGGAGATGGGGGACGGTCTGGCAGCGGGGTGGGGCCCGGGCGGTGGCAGAATCGATAGACGTGGGGGTTTGTGAGGTTGAGGTGAAAGGTGTCTCTGTGCGGTTGCTTTTCGGATGGACTGTTATTACTGTTTCTTTTTTTTAATGATTATTGTTATTGTTTTTATTTTATTCGAGTGGTCTGTTATCAACTAGGCCTATTGATACTATTACTACTGTTTTTTTAATGATTATTGTTATTGTTATTATATTATTCGAGTGGTCTGTTATCAACTAGGCCTATTGATACTATTACTACTGTTTTTTTATGATTATTGTTTTTTATTTTTATTAGAGTGGTCTGTTATCAACTAGGCCTATTGATACTATTACTACTGTTTTTTTTTTAATGATTATTGTTTTTTATTTTATTAGAGTGGTCTGTTATCAACTAGGCCTATTGATACTATTACTACTGTTTTTTTTAATGATTATGTTATTGTTATTATATTATTCGAGTGGTCTGTTATCAACTAGGCCTATTGATACTATTACTACTGTTTTTTTAATGATTATTGTTATTGTTTTTATTTTATTCGAGTGTTCTGTTATCAACTAGGCCTATTGATACTATAATTACCATTTCTTGTGTTATTGTGGTTGTTTATGGTATTACTGTAATTATTATTGTCTTTATATCTATTATTATCCTCATCATCGTTGTAATAATTATGTACGTTATTATTTTACGTGCCTTTAATCACCAGAAGCCAACTTTATCGAAATTCTTTCTCTTTGACATCATAAAAAAAACACATTAATTAGTTTAAAGAGGGAAAACATGGTAAAAATAATCACCCTCGGTGTTTTTTCGGAGAAAGTAAATTTATGGTGATTTCTTTCGTAAATCGCATGGACAAATCACCATAATTAGTGACCTCATCGTCCAGACATCAGCTGACTCAGACAACAGACTCAGAACACGTTCCAGACAGCAAGCACCAATCAATAAATATTCCGCAACGTCAGACAACGAGACTAAACTGTAACTGTGTCAGAAGAAGAAAAAATAATAGAATCCCACTACAGAAGAAATATTATATTTATTTTAATATTTTGCTCATATTTTTCGTGTAAATTCTTCTGTATCGTCTTATTTTTCGACAATTATGTCAATTTTTTAGAGGATATTGCCATTCGACTGGTATTTTTGGTGACGTCACGAGCCAGCGAGTCCTGTTTTGGTCTCCCGAGCGCCGCGTGGTGGCGGGAGAGCGAACTACGGCGCTGTGATAGACACGTGTTATGGCGATCAACAGACAGCGAGGTCTCCATTGTGCGTTTTTTTCCGAATTAGTTCCTTTGTGATCTCATTTTACGAATTCGTTATTTAGCAAAACGATAAATACGATAGATATAGGAAATGGTAGAAATGACAGGTATTATAGAGGGTGTAAAGGCATTTGGTGGGTGTTTGTGGGTACGCGGGCGAGGGGAGCGAGTGCAAGAAGAGGGGATGTGGGTTGCATGGCAGCTGTGACGTGTGGCACCGAGAGACAGCTGCGTGGCACGTCTTGGGGTGCAGAGATAACCAGTCAGGAGGAGGATGAGATGATGACGGGGAAGGCACCCTCTTTCTTCCCTGCGACCTCCTTTCGCTGGCTTCTGAAACTTTTTTTTTTTTTTTTTTTTTTTAGATTTCTGTTATTCGTTTTGTTTTTTTTGTTCTTTATCTCTGTTTCTTGTTGTTTTTCTCTTGATCTTATGTTTTTGTTTTTTTATTTCTCTCTTCTCTCTCTCTCTCTTCTCTCTCTCTCTCTTCTCTCTCTCTCTCTCTCTCTCTCTCTCTCTCTCTCTCTTCTCTTCTCTCTCTCTCTCTCCTCCCTTCCTCACTTCCCTCCCTCCCTCCCCCTTTCTCCCTTCCCTCCCCTCTTCCCCCTTTTCCCCCGCCCCTCCCTCCCTCCCTATCTCCTTCCCCTCCTCTCCCCCCTTCCCTCCCTCTCTTCCCCTTTTCCCCCGCTCCTCCCCCCTTTCCCCTTCACCCCGCCCCTCCTCCCCTATATCTCCCTCCCCTCCTATCCCCTCCCCTACCTATCTCCCTATCTCCGTCCTCTCCCTCTCTCCCTATCTCCGTCCTCCACCTGACCCTTATCGATAGGCACGTACGGTCCATGACCTTTCGACTGCCAAAAGGTCATGTATGGGGGTTTTACGCCATTGACCTTGTTCACTACGCTTGGCTCGTTCGCGGGTCACTTCCTCGAAGAATTGGGTAAAGAAGGGAGGCCTCGAAGAATTGGGTAAAGAAGGGAGGAAGCGAGTAAGGTAGCAAGGTCTCACCACACCCTTCGTTTTTTTTTTTTTTTTTTTTTTTTTTTTCTCTGTTTCTGTTTCTGTCTGAATCTCTGTCTGTCTCTGTATCTCTTTCCCTCCCTCTCTCTTCCCTCCCCTCTCTCTCTCTCTCTCTCTCTCTCTCTTCTCTCTCTCTCTCTCCTCTCTCTCTCTCTCTCTCTCTCTCTCTCTCTCTCTCTCTCTCTCTCTCTCTCTCTCTCTCCTCTCTCTCTCTCTCTCTCCTCTCTCTCTCTCTCTCTCTCTCTCTCTCTCTCTCTCTCTCTCTCTCTCTCTCTCTCTCTCTCTCTCTCTCTCTCTCTCTCTCTCTCTCTCTCTCTCTCTCTCTCTCTCTCTCTCTCTCTCTCTCTCTCTCTCTCTCTCTCTCTCTCTCTCTCTCTCTCTCTCTCTCTCTCTCTCTCTCCTCTCTCTCTCTCTCTCCTCTCTCCTCTCTCTCTCTCCTCTCTCCTTTCTCCTCTTCTCCTCTCTCCTTTCTCTTTCTCCTCTCTCCTTTCTCCTTTCTCCTCTCTCCTCTCTCCTCTCTCTCTCTCCTCTCTCTCTCTCTCTCCTCTCTCTCTCTCTCTCTCTCTCTCCTCTCTCTCTCTCTCTCTCTCTCTCTCTCTCTCTTTTTTTTGGAAATTCATTTTTTTTTTTTTCGTTGTGTCGTTGTTAGTGTTAGAAGAAAGAAAGAAAAACACACACACACACACACACACACACACACACACACCACACACACACACACACACACACACACACACACACACACACACACACACACACACACACAATCACCTCCACACCACCTTCACCACCCCACCACCACCCCACCAATCTCTCTCTTTAAATATACTCTACCCAAATCCCACTCCTCTTTTTAACGAAAATAATATACTCTTAGATAAACAATAAATACTCTTAGATAAACATTCTTCGGTTCCCACCCGTATCGGATGGTGTTCGGGCAAACATCACTTGCTTATAACACGGTTCTGTTTCCTCCCGGGATGATTGTGCGGAATCGGGTTCAGTCTTTGAGAATTGAACAGCTGGAGGTTTCTTTTGGGGGTAAAGGTTAATTGTCAAGGCAGTTGGGGAGGGGTGGGGGCGGGTTCTATTGTGGCTGGTTTTATTGGTATGGGGGAATATGGTTGTTGTTTTGTTGTTGTTTGTTGTTGTTATCGGCATTATTATGTTGTTATTAGTATAATTATTTGGTTGTTACTGTTGTTATCGTCGTCATTATTATCATGTCGTTGTTGTTATTAGTATCATTATTTGGTTGTTATTGTTATCGTCGTCATTATTATCATATCGTTGTTGTTATTAGTATCATTATTTGGTTATTGTTGTTATCGTCGTCATTATTATCATGTCGTTGTTATTAGTATCATTATTTGGTTGTTGTTTGTTGTTGTTATCAGCATTATTATCATGTTGTTGTTATTAGTATCATTATTAGTATCGCTAGCATTGGCATCATAATCGTAGTTGCTATACTGTCATATTCAATCATTAGTGTTATTATTATGAGTGTTATTATTATTATTATTATTGTTGTTGTTTTGTTGTTGTTATTATTATCATAATCATCATCTTTGGTATTATCATTATCGTTACTAATTATCTTTATTTCTGTCGCTGTTTTTATTAACACAATCACTATTCAATAATCTATCATGTTATTGTCACGATTTCGGTCACTTTCTGCTGTTCCTAGTTATTCCCTTTTCGTTTCGGATGCCAGTGTCAGCTCTACTAATTTATGATAATTATCCTCATTATTGCCATTGCATTCGTAAGCGTTGCAATAATATTGATAAAGACATCATCATCATCACCATTATCATTTTGTTGGTGAAGATGCGGTGTAGCGTTCGTGAATGTTGTTGAGTTTGTCGCGTGTTGTTGGTGTATTGCGTTGTATTGTCTCACCAACGCGATGTATTTATAGATTGTCACTGTGGCTATTAAAAAAGAAAATAAAAGTACAAGAGAGCAGTGAAAACAAACATGAGACAGCCGAGACACTCACTCACTCACTCACTTCACTCACCACCTCTCACTCACTCACTCACTCACTCACTCTCTCTCTCTCTCTCTCTCTCTCTCTCTCTCTCTCTCTCTCTCTCTCTCCTCTCTCTCTCTCTTCTCTCTCTCTCTTCTCTCTCTTCTCTCTTCTCTCTCAAAATATGTGAAGCCTTCAATATTTTGCTATATTTCTGATTATTATTTTTTTATTTTCTCTTTTGTTTTCTTTCTTTCCGTTTTGTGCATATTCGCTTTTTTATTTTTTTGTGTGTGTGTCGTTGTCACTGTTAGTGCTAGAAGAAGAAAACACACACACACACACACACNCCCCCCATCCCCCCGCACCCATACACAGAAATATCAACCACAAAAAAAAAAAAATATCTTGACCCAACCTGACCCGGACCGACCCGACCCGACCCACGACCGAACCCGACTCGCTCCTCTCGCGTCCGCGTCCGCAACACGACGAAAACGACAAGACGCGGCTTATCATTCGTTATCGGGGATGGTCGTCGGGGCAGATAGCGGGATGGGGTGTTGAGGGACCTTGTTTCGTGATTGGAGTTATCTTTGGATGGGTCTGTTGGGGAGGAGGAGGCGGAGGCGGGGGGGGGGGGGGGGGAGGGGATTAATGTGGTGATGTGATGATGATCTGGTGGTGGTGGGTGGGGGGGATATGATGGTGGTCGGTGGGTGATGATGGGGATGATGGTGTGGGTGGTGGAGGTGGTGTGTGATAATGGAATGTTAATGATGGTGATGGTGATAATGATGGTGGGGATGGTGATGATGATGATGATGATGCGTGAGGATGATGGTGATTGGTGTGGGAGGGTGATGATGATGGTGGTGGTTGATGATGTTTACGATGATGATGATGATTACGATTATGATTGTGTTTTTGTATGTACGTGTGTCTGTATATGTATATATACGTTTGGACTGTATGTGTGTGCGGGTCTGTCTCTGCATGTATGTGTGTGTGTGCGTGTGCGTGTGTACGTTCGTCCCCCCCCCCCGCCTCCATCCCGGCCGCCGACCGTCCGAAGCTGGCCGCTGTGGAGTGAGTGGTCGTCCAAGCGAGGTGGGTCTCGCGTTGCCACACACCTCGCACCACGATCGGTTTTTGGTCCCCGCCGTTCTTGGTAACAGTGGAGATTCTTGGTATTTTTGCGTTTTTTCGATTTTTTTTTTTTTTTCGATTTTGTTATGTTTTTTGGGTTTGAAGACGCTGCGTAGATTGGTGTGTTGTTGGGTCGTTCATTCATTGACATTCATCGTATATATATATATATATATATATATATATATATATATTATATATTATATATATATATATATATATATTTTTTTTTTTATTGTTGTGTGTGTGTGTGTGTGTGTGTGTGTGTGTGTGTGTGTGTGTGTGTGTGTGTGTGTGTGTGTATGTGTGTATGTATGTATGTATGTTGTGTGTGTGTGTGTGTGTGAGAGAGAGAGAGAGAGAGAGAGAGAGAGAGAGAGAGAGAGAGAGAGAGAGAGAGGAGAGAAGAGAGAGAGAAGAACAAAACACAAAAGCTTACATATACATTTCATTCACAAATTCTTTCATTCCTTTTGGACTCACTTCTCATTCATACCTCACTCGCCCAGACGACCAGCTCCACCTCTCCCTCATCCCTTCTAAACAAATAAAATGTACTTTTTTGTACACATGCGGTCGCCTCGTACATGAGGGAGAAAATATGTACTTGTTTTGTACCTAAACCAGATCATTATCTGAACGTCTCGACTGTACATCCTGTACAACTAGACTACTGGTCAAGGTGTACCTCCGATGTACTCACTGTCTTCCCTGTCCCTCGTACTTGGAGAAATGTGCTAAAAAATGTACTTTCATATCCTAGACTACTGATGTACTTACTCGCCTGTCCCTCGTACTTAGAGAAATGTGCTAAAAAATGTACTTTCATATCCTAGACTAATAATGTACTCTCATACTTGGAGAAATGTGCTAAAAATGAACTTCCATATCCTAGACTGCTGGTGAACTCGCCTCCCAGTTTCTCGTACTTGGAGAAATGTACTTAAAATGTACTTCCATATCCTAGACCACTGGTCAACTAAACTTCTGAATGTACTTTCTTTTTCATTCATACTTTGGAATGTACTAAAATGTAATGTCCACTAACCTAGTCTACTGGCCAGTGTACTTCACGATGTACTCTTCATATTGGACAACTTGGAGAAATGTGCTTAATGTGAACTTCCATAACAGATAATCTGGCCAAGGTGTACTACACGATGTACTACTAGCCCTCCCCTCCTTCTCATCCTCAGAGAAATGTACTAAAAATGTACTTCCATAACCAGACTACTGGTCAAAGTGTACTTCCGATGTACTTCCTTTTCATTCATACTTGAAAAAATGTACTAAAATGTACTTCCATAACCAGACTACTGACCAAGATGTACTTCACGATGTACTAACCCTCCCCTCCTTCTCATCCTTGGAGAAATGTACTAAAAAATGTACTTCCTTTCCTAGACCACAGGCAAGGTGTACTTCCGATAATAATTCCACCCCCTTTCATTCATACTTGGAAAAATGTACTAAAATGTACTTCCATATCCTAGACTACTGGCCAAGGTGTACTTCACGGATGTACTAACCTCCCCTCGCTTCTCATCCTCGGAGAAATGTACTAAAAATGTACTTCCTTATCCCGCACTCTTCGTCTGTTAACCACCGACATACACCCAGCACCACGAGAAACAGGTGAACGTTCCTTGGTAATATCTGTGTAAAGGTGTAATTAAGGTGTAATTAAGGTGCAATTAAGAGCAACAACCCGTTATGGCACGTGTGTGTGTGTGTGTGTGGTAATAGGTTTGAGGGAAGCGGTGAAGGCATTGAACTGGGGGAGGCGGAGGGGGGTAGGAGTGATGGAGATGGGAGGGAGGGGGGGAAAGGGTAGTGAGGGGTGATAGGCGAGGGGGAGGGTTGGTAGTGATAGGAGGGAAGGGGAGGGGTAGGTTGTGATAGGAGGGAGGGGGAGGTAGTGATAGGAAAAGGGAAAGGGGGACGGGGTGGGGGGCAGGTTAGGAGGAGGATAGGAGAAGGCTAGTGATAGGAAAAGGAAAGGGGGACGGCGGAGGCAGGTTAGTGATAGAGGGGAGGGGGGAGGCAGGGTAAGTGATAGGAGGAGGAGGAAGGGGGACAGGGTAGTGATAGGAGGGAGAGAGAGGGTGGGGGCAGAGTAGTGATAGGAAGGGAGGGGAATACGGTAGTAAAAAGGGAAAGGGAGGGGGGGCAGGGACATGGTAAAGAAAAGGAGAGGAAGGAAAGGGGGAGTGGAGGGGCAGAGGGGAGGGAAAGGGGAAGGGAAGCGGAGGGGAACACAAGATAGTAATTAAGGGAAGGGGGAACAGGAAAGTAAAAGGGAGAGGAGGGAACAGGGAAGTGAAAGGGAAAGGGGAGAGGGAAAGGAAGGGAAGGGGGAGGGGAGACACGGTTAGTAAAAGGGAAAGCGGCAAGGGAAGGGAAGGGAAGCGGGGAAGGGTAGTTAAAAGGGAAAGCGGCAAGGGGAGGGGAGGGAAGTGAAGGGAAGGGAAGGGTAGTAAAGGGAAAGCGGCAAGGGGAGGAAGGGAAGCGGAAGGGTAGTAAAAAAGGAAAGGGGCAAGGGAAGGGAAGGGAAGCGGGGAAGGGTAGTAAAAGGAAAGCGGCAAGGGAAGGGAAGGGAACGGGGAAGGTAGTAAAAGGGAAAGCGGCAAGGGGAGGGAAGGGAAGCGGGGAAGGGTAGTAAAAGGGAAAGGGCAAGGGAAGGGAAGGGAAGCGAAGGGAAGCGGGGAAGGGTAGTAAAAGGGAAAGGGGCAAGGGGAGGGGAGGCAAGGTAGTAGTAGTAGCGAGAAATGGGGAAGAAAATTATAATAAGCTTTTGATATATCCGTCGTGAAAGTTTTATTGGTATATTTCATTTGATATAAAGCGGTGTGGTGTATAATGGGATTTAATGAGATATATTTTTTTTTCGTAGATAAATTTATGGATTAGTTGCTATATATACGATGTATTTATGATGATATGTGTGTGTTTTGTTGTGTGTGTGTGAGAGACAGACAGACAGACAGACAGACAGACAGACAGACAGGCAGAGAAAGAGAGAGACGGAGAGGGAAAAAAGACATAGAGGGAAAGAGAATGAGAGTGAGTGTATGCGTGCATGTGTGTATTATACAATGCACATTGATATATATCTACACATCAAATCTACATATGATATACATCTTCGAGGACGAGAACAAAGACGAACTAACCACGAATTAGAGAAAAGAAAAGAGAAGAAAAGAAAAACATAGGAAAATAGTCCTTAAACACAGCTGCAGGGCGTCCATTGTATTCATAGTTGGGGAATGTGTTACGGGAAAGAAGGAGAAAGAGAAAGGGAAGACAAAGAATAAATATCTGCTAAGGGAAGGAGTAGGAAAAAGGTGGGGGGGGGGGGGAGGGAGGAGAGGGGGGAGGGGGGACTTGTCAGAGGGAAGTGAGACGGCATTCCCCACACCCTTTCTTGTTGTTTTTGTTTGTCTCTTTTCTTTATCTCTCTCTCTCTCTCTCTCTCTCTCTCTCTCTCTCTCTCTCTCTCTCTTCTCTCTCTCTCTCTCTCTCTCTCTCTCTCTCTCTCTCTCTCTCCCCTCCCTTCTTCTCTCTCTCTCTCTCTCTCTCTCTCTCTCTCTCTCTCTCTCTCTCTCTCTCCTCTCTCTCTCTCTCTGCTCTCTTCTCTCCTCTCTCTCTCTCTCTCTCTCTCTCTCCCTCTTCCCTCTCCTCTCTCTCTCTCCTCTCTCTCTCTCTCTCTCTCTCTCTCTGCCCTCTCTCTCTCTCTCTCTCTCTCTCTCTTCTCTCTCTTCTCTCTCTTCTCTCTTTTCTCTCTCTCCGCTCTCCTCTCTCTTCTTCGCTCGCTCGCCTCTCTCTCGCTCTCTCGCCTCTCTCTCTCTCGTCGCTCTCTCTCTCGCTCTCTCGCTCTCTCGCTTCATCTCTCCTCCTCTCTCTCTCTCGTCTCTCATCTCTCTCTCTCACTCTCTCTCTCTCTCTCTCTCTCTTCTCTCCGCCTCTCTCTCCTCGTCTCTCTCTCTCCTCTCTCTCTCTCCTCTCTCTCTCTCTCTCTCTCTCTCCCTCTCTCCCTCCCTCCCTCCCTCCCCTCCCCTCCCTCCTCCCTCCCTCCCCCCTCTCCTCACTCTTCTCCCTCCCTTCCCTCCTGCTCTCTCTTCCTCACTCTCTCCCTCCATCCCTCTTCTTCCTTCTCCTCTCTCCCTCCCTCTCCTCACTCTCACTCACTCTCACCCCCCCCCTCCTATCTCTCTCTCTCTCTTCTTTCTTTCTTTCTTTCTTTCTTTCTTTTCTTTCTTTCTTTCTTTCTTTCTTTCTTTCTTTCTTTCTTTTCTTTCTTTCTTTCTTTTTCTTTCTTCTTTCTTTCTTTCTTTCTTTCTTTCTTTCTTTCTTTTTTTCTTTCTTCTTTCTTCTTTCTTTCTTTCTCTCTCTCTCTTCTCTCTCTCTTCCTCTCTCTCTCTCTCTCTCTCTCTCTCTCTCTCTCTCTCTCTTCTTCTTCTTCTTCTTCTCTTCTCTTTTCTTCCCTCTCTCCCTCCCTTCCCTCGCCCCCTTTTCTCCCTAACCCCTTTCTTCTTTCTTTCTTTCATTCATTCCTTTCCTCCCTCTCTTCCCCATTTCCTTCGCCCATCTTTTATCTCCATCTCTCTCTTCCCCCTCCCTCTGTACCCCAAGGTTAGAATGAATATGCAAATTATGCGAAATATTACCAAAGTATAAAGAAAATGCCAACCACTCGGGATCCGGTGTTGCAGAATGAGTTAACAAGTTTGCAAAATATTTTTTACTTCTTAATTGTTTACGTCTTAATTTAAAGTTAAATTAATGCGGGTTTTCCACACATTCTTTTCGTTCAGTTGTCCAGTTTCGTGAAAATGCGATTCATTGGTTTTTTCCGCAGCATATCATTCTCTTGATTGCAATTGAGCAACGAATGCAAAGTAGGAAACAAAACGTAATTGATGAAATGGAATGAAAAAAGGGGGAAAATCGAATCAGGTTGAGGTGCCGGTTCGTGCATATTTCGCCGGCGCGTGTTCTATGAAGAAGGAAAAAATGTGGATTTTCAGAACTCTCACATGATTTTTAGCCATTTCTTTTGTTTCATTAACAAATATTCATGTTAGTAAAGACATCGAGCTTTTATATATTTTGTCAATGTGCTCAGGAATTTATATTTTATTCTCTGTCTTTAATACGAAATAAGCTGCTACGCATAACTGGCAACCTCTTTTCCGCCATATTGCTCTAGCTGGCTGCGTTCGTTTCCTTGACCTTGGCTTAAACTTTCGCTGCCCGTGTTAACTTTTTTTATAAAGGGGAAGTGGGGGGGGGGAGGCGCTGGGGAAGTGGAATTGAGGGAGGTTAGGGGGGGAGAGGGGGAGGATACAATTAGAGTAAGGGGAATGCGAGAGGCTTTGTTGGAGGAAAAAGGTGAAGGGGGAGGTTAGAGGAAACGGTGAAGGGGGGGGGGGTGGAGAAAGGGTGAAGGGGGTGGGGAGGGGAGTAGGAAGGAGGGGGAGGTAGAGTAGAGGGGAGGAGAGAAAGGAGACGAGAGGAGGGAAGAGGAAGGGATCGAGGGGGGGGAAGGGGAGGCTGGGGAGGGGGATGTGGGCGGGGGAGTCTGGGAGGAGATAAGCTGAGGGTGAGGGCTGAGAAAGGGAGGAGGAGAGGGAGAAAGGGTGGGGGGGGGTGTTTTTTTTTCTCTCTCTTTGAAGGAGGTTTGTTTTTTTTTTAATTTTATTTATTTTTTTTTTAAGGAGGGGGGGGGGAGAGATTGGGAGAGGGAGAGAGAGAGGATAAAAGAAGAATTGAGAGAACGCGAATAATGGAGGGGGAGAGGAAGCGATAAGGGGTTAGGGGAGTGGGGGCAGGGTGGTGGGGGGGGGGAGTTGAAGTAATTCCAAGCGAGGTGTAGGTGAAGGTGGCTGGTGGGGAGGAGGGGGGGGTAGAGGTTAGGTGAAGAATGTGTATTGTTGACGATTTTTATTATTGTTTATTTTATTTTATTTTTATTTTTATCCAGTATGTGTATGAGTGATTATTATTATGTAGATTTCACCTGTTTTTTTTTTTTTTTTTTTTTTTTTTTTCTTTAAGTACAAGGAGCATTGTGTGTTGATTTTGTTTATTGTGTCGTTGGCTATGTCAAAAAAATAATACAATTAAAACAGAACTGTATGTGATAAAAAAAAATTGGGATTTTAAGATTGTGTATTGTGTTGTTGGTGGCTTTTTGTGGCCATGAAAAAAGGAGGTTTATTGTGTGATAAAAAAAAATATGATAATAATTGTGAGATTTTTATCGGTTTGAAAGATCTTTTCCGTACCTTAGGATATGTCATTTTTTTACGTTTTTAACAAGAGCATTTTTTCGCGACTTCTTTGCCTTTATTTTCTCCTCTATTTTATCTTCTCTTTTCTTTTATCTCCATCTCTTCTCTCTCTCTCTTCTCTCTTTCTCTTCTTCTCTCTCTCTCTCTCTCTCTCTCTCCTCTCTCTCTCCTCTCCTCTCTCCTCTTCTCCGCTTCTCCCTTCTCTCTTCTCTTCTCTTCTCTACTCTTCTCCTTCTCTCGTCTCTCCTCCTCTTCTCTCTCTCTCCCCTCTCTCTCTCTCTCTACTCCTCCTCTCCCCTTCTGTCT